GTTGAATTTCAACGATTCTGCTTGGAATATTCTAATATAACAAACATTCATTGTGCATATATATTTTAAAAAAATCGAATCTCGCGCCCTTGGCCGCTTGTTGCTACTAGTAGGCTATCACTAGTAGCATAGCCAATCAGAACGCGCACGATACATGATAGTCTACTAGTAGGTTTATACTAATATAGAATAGATATAGTTTGGAAATCATTAGAATAGCAATATAACTCATTTATGTCAGTCAACGTTTATTCATAAATATATTCTTTCACCGTCACGTGTGTATTATATTTTTGCCATGTCCATAGCGATAGCCACATTATGCCGGCATTTCTTTTAGCATAATAGGGAACCCTTTTAAGATCGAGCACAATAGGCAAAGAGCGAGCATAATAGGCAAACGTTTCGGTATGACGTCATTTTGCCAACGTAATTACGTAATACGCATATGTGACAACCATCGGCGGGCCGGAGGACCTTGTCGAGGCCTCATGCATTTATGTTGCAATATAACAACGTTAATTATAACAAACGTTAAATTAAATAAAGTTTTTGTTTTTTGTGCTCTTGATTGAATATGATATAGCATAATTATGGGCATAATAGGGAAAAAGTTTGGGCATAATAGGGTAAAGTCAGGAGCATTTGAGAATAACATAATAGGCAATTTTTTTAGCATAATGTGCCTGTCCCCACATGTCCACCAATAGCAATTTTCAATTTACCCTATTGTTTGAGTCATGGATAGGTAACTTTCCTAAAACATTTCTTTTGGTTAGTCGGGCAAAAATATAATACTCACGTGATGGTAAAAGACCAGATCTATAAATGTTATTGTTCACTAACATAGGTAATACATATGAGTTATGTTGTTATTCTAATGAGTTTCCAAACCATCTATTCTATTAACTATGGTGGGAGTGAACACTCCAGGCCCCCGCTGGACCAAAACTTTGAAAAGTTTAGAGCCCCCCCTCTTCAGTATATCGAGAACTTTCAGAGCCCCCCCCCTTTAATGCCAGAAAATATTGTGCCCCCTTAACATCTTCATCCCCCCCCGGCATAAATTTATTAGCATTCTTTGTATAAAGAATACTAATAAGGCAGTATATCTATTGAATTTGTATTCGTGTTTGATTACTCCACACGTCACGATCACATTATCAATATCCACACAAGTAGCCTAGTGATGTTTATATTTCATACAATTGTTGTTGTGCATCACTATCTTTGTATTTCTGTTTTGTCGAGTTATAAGATATCTTTATCAATTTGACCATAACAGGATTTATTTGCATTAATTAAGCGTTGGATTGACAATGTCATACAAAAACGGCTCAGAAAAGCAGTTTCAAAAGAATGTAAACATATTCATACTGGTTCAAATAAATAACAGCTTTGGCTTTTTTGGTTTTCATACAGGGAATGTCTAGGATTAGATACAATTTCACTGAATAACTTTCTATCTCTCTCTTCAATAACTTCAGATATCTTAATACATTTTGTCTTATATCCATAACGATAAGCATTCACGGCAAGGTTTTTCCCAAAAGTCGGGATGGTTTTTGCTATTTGTTTGAAGTGAATGTTTCGGAGTTTTAAATAAGTTTTAAATTGTCCGTGAATATGAATATGACACAGTAAAATAATAAAGGAATCCTACCTTTCAAGTTAAATACAACATTTTGTGCTTCTTTCGTTCTCTGGGGCCATTTTTTTCAATATTTTGTCGATTTTGAAACCAAATTTGTCGAATCATTCTTTTTGAAAAGCATTATTTAGGGGCGACGTCCATATTCAAGTTGCCACGCAAAACGTCAAATTAACGTTTTTATGACAACCCACCCACCCTTGAAAACGTTAAGTGTGACGTAATGAATATTTCAAAACTTAGATGGGGTTGGAACGCTCCAAGTATCAAAGTCTATAACTACTGTGCTCATAAACTGAATCGTTTGTGAAACAAAATTACCTTTTAATATATCCACTGGGTTAATATTATAAACATATTTAATTTTTTAATTTTTTTTTAATTTTACAAGCTTTGTCACAACAAAAATACATCATGACAAATAAAAATAATTCTATATATAACATTACAAATGTGACAGGAAATCACAACAGCTTCAGGCCAATTACAGTTATCCCAAAACGTAAACGTACAAGTACAGTGTTACACACACACACATAGACACACACACATAGACACACACATGTATATATATATATATATAGATACATATCTAATTTAAAAACAACATGCAGTAGGTTTGATTAGGTCCCGGGCCTGGTTACATTTCAGGAAAATTGTTTTCCACGACCGAGGATCATCCACATTATAATTCCTATCTAATGCGGTATAGTAATATTTAATTAAGAGATTTTTAAAGATTATTAGAGAGTTAGATTTATCGGTTATTATTCTGGTAATATGTTCAATATTCTTGTTTTTCTTATCGTATAAGTCTGTTGGTAGGTAGAGGTTTTACATTTCCTAACTTGGAAGTTTATGGAGTTCGGATCCACTGATCTTGTAATTCGTGAGTTTTCATTATGTTTGGGAACAACTGCATCCGAGAGGCACATGATACCGCAATTTGCCTTGCAGAAAAATAACATGTCTAGATATTCATGCCAATAACTTAGAGGTAGAAAGACCAAGTCAATAAGCCTTTGGGTGTAGCTGCACGCTTTCACAAAGGAAAGGTAGATCTTTAGATCTTTAGAAAGGTAGATCAAGATCTAGAAGACGTTTATGGCTAACTTTGTCAAAAGCCTTTGACATATCTAAATAAATTACACCGATCTGTTTGCCACGATCTAGTTGTTTTCCTATCTTGTCAAAAACGTCGATAAGTTGGGTCACACAGTTTTTCCCGGGAAGGAAACCATGTTGGCAGGGATAGTTATTCGACAGAAAATAATGATCTTTAATAGTATTGAAGACACAGCGTTCCAGAACTTTCGAAACCAGAGAGTGCAGAGATATAGGTCCATAATTTTCCACACATTCCTGGTCTCCTTTTTTATGAGCAGGAACAACATCAGCGAGTTTCCAATCAAATGGTACCACGCCGATACGCAACGATTTGTTAAACAATTGACATAGAGATGGAATTATTTGAGATGCAGTTTCTGTTAGTAAACGAGCAGGTCAGCAGGAATCCCATCTGGGCCATGAGCTTTGTCATTATCAAGAGTTCTTAGTACATTAGCTACGTCGTCAGGTGTTAAAACAACATCCTCCAACAAGGAAATGTTATCATCGATCGTGGACGGGTCTATGGAAGTATCTGGATCATTAGTAAAAATGGATGTAAAATAATTAGTAAAGAGAGTTGCTATGTTCACTGGTGTTTCTGAGTATTTCCTTGAATTTCCTTCAACCCCCATTGCATGAGACTTTCTCGGGAACATTGCAAGATTTGGTTTTTAGCTTGAAGAGCGACCAGAAACGCTTTGGGTTATTTCCGTGATCATCACAAATAGAGTTGATGTACTTTGAACGACTTTCACGCAGCATTTTTTTAATGGCAGTTCTGAGATGTTTGAATTTTTCTTTCAGGTTAGTAGATGTAGGAGCTTTCCTTAACTTCCGCCGTACAGAGTTTTTCTTTTTGATATTATGCATTATAGCACTGTTCATCCACGGGACGTAATAACGAATTCGTAATTTTGTAGATGGAATATGATCCGATACCGTCGCTAAGAAAGTATCTTGCCAATTACGCCAATCTTCGTTAATATCACCATCGCTTGAAATTAACCCAGACAGGTTTAAGGACTCGAGAGCGGATCTAAGAGCTGTAAAGTCTCCTCGTCGATAATCATACACCGTCCTGTTAGTTTTTGGCAAGCGTTGGGGGTGAACAAAGAGTGATGAACATATATAAAGAGTGGTGAACAAAGAGTGGTGAACATATATAAATATGTATGAAACAAGAAAGACAAAAATTCCACCAAGTAAGTTCTTTTTAAATATGCAATAATATTGATAAAATAGTGTAAATATATTAACTTTTCCATCGCGTATTGATACTATTTTAATAAATATTGACGGTTATTTTAATATATATTCTATATATAGCGTTGTAGTTTTGGAAAATATTCATATTGCCACGGTAAAAACGTCACAGCACTACAGTTTTAACCCACCCACCCAACCAACCACCCACCCACCCAAAACGTAAATTTGACGTTTTGCGTGGCAACTTGAATATGACGTCGCCCCTTAATACCCAGGTGGTAAATAATACCTCAGATTTACTAGTCAGCTAGCCAATCAGAACGCACGAACATGGGCGTACCGGAAGGAAAAAATTAGGGGGGCGGAAAGAAAATTGCCCGACTTTTCGGCATTCTGCCCGACTAGTACCCAAAAATTTTTTCCGGAAAAATTATTTTGGCGACCTTCCCCTCCCCCCGTCGCCAAAAAAATTTCGGTCAGTGTACCATTTTAGGGGTCAAAAAAATTTTCCGGACAACCAATATTTTTCGGAACATAACACATATTTTCGGAAAATCACAAAATTTGCCAAAAAAATTTATTAATTTTACACAAAATTGACAGAATTTGTCCCATTTTTTTTTATTGCAAACCAAAATTGCCCGACTGTTGATCGAATATTGCCCGACTGCCCAAAAAACTGGGGGGGCTACCGCCCCCCCCCCGCCCGGTACGCCTATGCGCACGAAAGCTCATTTGATATGCAAAATTTATACTAATTGCCAATATTTTTGCGAGCATACACGCGTCACTTGTTTACATCCACTAAATGTCGGCGCTTAACTCGAATGCTTAAATCGTTAATTGACTTCGAGTTAAGCCCCCGGCGAAAAAGGGCGTGGCAGGGGCTTAACTCGAAAAGGGCTTAACTCGGAGGGCTGAACTCGAAGGGCTTAACTCGAAAAATACCTACCCCCATTTGACATGCAAAATTTATACTAAAAAGGATTATTCATAAATTTCTGTCTGATATAGTAACCCCTGACGAGACGCCTTATTCAGCCTTATCTGGTCCTGTCTTAACGGTATACACCCATTTTACTCCCACTACCTCACAGCCCTTTGGGGGTGGGACCAACTCGAAAGTTTCATTGCCCTCTAAGGCCTCAATTTCATCATCCATGGCTTTTTCCCATTTATTTCTTTCAGGAGAATGTACTGCTTGGGAATAGCTAGTTGGAATGTCATGGGTTCTATAGCAATAATCAACTGCACATGTTGCTGCATCATCAACAACCTTACCAGTTACATATTCATTCAAATATGTTGGCTTAGTACGAGTTCGACTAGGGTACCGTACTTCATCATGCACAGTTTCAATGCCATTTGCACTTTCATCCCCTTGTGTTGATATTACACTCTCATTGGCAATAGGTACAGACACTTTACTGGGCAGAAATTCCCCTTCCTGTTCGTCAGGATTAACCTTAGATTCATGGTTGCTCTCATTGAAAAATTTCACACACCTTACTCGTTCAACCTTATTGGAATCAGGATAAAAGACAAGATATGCAGGACTTCTTATCATATCCCACAAATATACCCTGTTTACTTCTAGGATCTAATTGCTTTGCATTTTGCACATATGCGTAACAAATGGAACCAAAGACATGCATATCGCTCAAATCTGGTTTAGACCTTGTAAATGCCTCATAAGGAGTTTTGGCCAATCTCGCATTGAAGCAACGATTTCTGATGTAGGCTGCTGCCATAACAGCATAAGTCCATATGGACTTTGGCAAGTTTGCCTCAAGCAACAAACATCTAGCCATATTAAAAAGACTCAATCATGCTCTTTCCACCGTTCCATTTTGATGTGGGAATATGGTGCACTAGTCTCATGCCTTATCCTATTTTCTCGAAGAATAGATTTAAATTTATGACTGGTGAATTCTGTGCCATTGTCACTCCTGACACGCTTAACCCTCCCAAAAGGAGCAGCATCAGCCAAGAATTGCTGTAATGCTTTTGGGGTATCACTCTTACATTTTAGAAAATAGACCATAATAATCCCTGAATAGTCATCAACGAATGACAAAGCATACTTAAAGCCATCTCTTCCTACAGGATCAATAAGACCAGCCAGGTCACAATGCACAAAATCTAATTGAGCAGTTACTCTTTCATCTGGGGATCTATTCCTAAATTGGCACATCTTACCTTTAGTGCAAACAGTACACTCTACTTCATCATAGTTGGAAATATTCATCCCCTCTACAACATTTTCCAATTTCTGAACATCACCATAATTACAGTGACCAAGGATTTTATGCCATTCATGCAGAGAACATGCACTATTCTTAGAGGATGAAATACTATTTAAATAATATAACCTACCTTTTTGTTCCATTCCAAACGTTGTGCCATCAGGACATTTGAGCTGTTTCACCTGCTTATCTAAACTAATACTGGCCCCCCTTTCTGTCGCAGCATGCACTGAAAAAATATTTTGTTCATAGGACGGAACATACAATGCGCTATTTAACATTACTTCACGTGCATTACCATTGACGTCATAAAGTTTAACTTTAGCATTTCCTTTTTCTAATACTACGTTGGCTTTACTGCCATCAGCGAGTTCTATGACATGCGTACTAGGATTAAATTCTTTATCAAAGTCCACAAATTTTGATTTGTCATTTATAATGTGATTTGTGGCTCCAGTACCTACTAATAAACTAGAATTACTCTTATTATTTATACATGATTTATTAATTGTGTCCTTGGATGTAAAGGCAAACGTATGTTCATTGTTCTCACTTGACATTCTCTTCTCCGCTGCTGTCTTCGCCGCATCTTTCTTCTTCCGGCAATTCTTTGTCTCGTGGGTTTTACTCTTACAGTTGCTACACCATCTCTCCGATGTCTTCGACCAACACTCCGCGCTTTTATGTCCCTTTCTCCCGCATTTAAAACAGTTCCCATCGAACTTTTGCTTCGTCAACATGATATTCTCCCCCGCGCTGGCAGCCTTCCCACCATGTGTCTTTGCGCTTTCCTCCTGGCTTCGCAGCGCGCTCTTGAATTCGGCGAAAGTCATTTGTTTTTCTCTTTGCACAACTACCGTGGCAAACGTGTCGTATTCCCTCGGTAAGCCTTTCAAAACCATCGCGATTAACAATGCGTCGCTGATAGCTTCCTCGGCATTTCGTAACGCTGTCGCAAATGACTCGGCTATGTCGCTGTCGCAAATGTCTATACGTGGCTTTCCCTTCCCTTGGTAGTGCTGTCTAAGAACTTCTAGCGCTTTCTTCCCGTCGTCTCTCGCGTCTCGTATCACTAGCGATAAACTTCTATCGTCCAGACATTGCACGAGTTTGGCAAAAGCACCAGCTTGCGTCGAAGCGTCTGGTGGGTCTTTCTCGCTTGCGTCTCGCACGAATACTTTATATAGCTTTTGTAGCCGCATATAGCCCAGGAACTTTACTTCCCACAACTCATATTTGCTTTCGTTACCGTCAAATAGGAAGCCTCTCCTGGGCCCAGAACCTGTTGAGTTCGTTGTAGTTGTCATTATTATATAATCAGGGGCGGACATATCGATTTTGACTGGGAGGGTGTAATCACGAAATGAGACCGACTCACCACTGAAATGTGAATCCAGGCCGACTCTTGGTGAGTTGGTGTGTTGCAATAAAATTGAGTACAAAGCATGGAAATTGATAGCATTTATTAGGAATTTTGCAAGAACACGTACAGTTTGCTGTGAAACGTTATATTTTTATTAAGTGTCCGCGCTTAGTCAGGTTTGACCACGGATTAGCGATTTCGTCAAGATCGATCGTGTCTGTTAGATCGCGCTCACACGCAAAGAGTTCACCGAGGCGTTCCTGGTTCATTACTAAACGCATAACAGTTTTAATTTTACTGATTTCAGCTTTGAAAAGCTGCGCTCGGCAAATGCGGATGTTACAGTAACTGTCAGGCGCGTAACTATAGGATTTTTGATTGACCAAGACACTTCTGGGGCGAGTCTGGGGGCATGCTCCCCCAGAAAATTTTTGATTTTCTAAGGCTTAGAAACGCTATTTCCTGCATTCTGGGAGCAGTTCAAACAAAATATCAATTTCATAAACAGTGACACAATGACTATAATTTTATACTGTTGTTTTCCTCCAATCCTGAGGCTAAGAACTACAAATATTTTTGGTCGACATCATTGAAGGCAAGAATAACGCTTCTTTACATTGAGAGAACTATACAGTCTGTCACTGAACTTGAGCTTGATTGACTCATATACCTAGTTATGGGCCTGACTGTAAGCAACAATTGGAAACATCGCGTAGTCAGTGGAAACAATTTTTCCCTCCGTGATTTCAGATAAACCAGTGCGTCGTTCACTGATCGAATTTCTTGATTGCAGTAGGCACATCAACTCTTTGGTAACAAAATGCATATGCATAATTATCGTGTTACATGTGAACATACTTCCTAATATAACTCCGCTAGAAATTCGTTTTTGCACTTTACATCTTAAAAATATAGTTTAGGGACTGGAAATATTGTAACTAATGTTAGATATTTTGATCGAGATTCATCGCATTTTGGAGTCTGATTTTGGGGGTTTGAAATTTTCGCTAATATAGAATATCACCTGTGAATGACCTTGCAGAACCAAATTCCAAATAAAAGTGCCAACACGTAATTGTGACATATAGATATCTCATGCATGTAAGCATGTTTGGAATGTAAATGAAAATTTCATCCCTTTGCGCGTGTTTTGAATGATAATTCGTTCATAAACTCGCGAAATAAGTACGTAATATTTCTTCATATTACTTCTGAGCTGTTTGATCCGTTTGAGCACATTTCCAACTCAATACTCAATAGTCTGAGTCTATCTCGAGTTTTGAAAAAATTTAATTTGCTTCGCAAAGCACTGCATGTAAACAAACGCATCATTTTGAGACCGACTGCACGTAGTTTGAGACCGACTGGGTCATTTCTCTGGGGGGGATGAACAACCCCCCCCCCCACACCCACACCCCCCACATTTACGCCCCTGTATATAATTGTCATTCTTTATTACAAGAGATACACACTCTGTGGAAGCATACAAGAACTAAGTTTTATTTTACATCAAGTGCGTTTATGTTACAATGTGCTAAATTACAATTGGTCAGAATAATTATTAATCATGCTATATATGGTATTACAGGAAATATATTGTATTCATTGTCTTAATCATATCATTGGTTAACTGAACTAAAATCACAACTAATTACATTATTGTTATATGAAGTATTATGAGCATAGCTTAACATATAGAATATCATCTACCAAAATAATGCAAAATGAAAGTACTTAGGATTACTAGGAATTTTTACCACTACTAGGAATTGGTAACGATTTCCTGGAACTAGCTACTTCCGGTCAGGAACTGAATTAAAGTTAATAATTAAACCGGTTCAACCAAACTATCTTAATACTGTAGTAACACAAACATTTAACGACTATTTACTACATGTTTTCCAAGCTAAAATTTAAAAAAGGAAAAAAAAAGATTGTGGAAAGAAATAAAATTATACTTTCATGTTCTTTATTAAAGCTACATTGCAATTTGCAAAACGTTAATCTATTCTAGTTTCTACTATACGTGTTCAAACAATTATCTTTCGTTTACCCATATTTATATAAATAGCGAAATAAGAACAAACATTTTGGCTGTTATGTCTTCTATCTGTACGTATAATTTTGCCCCCGTCCGTTTCATTTTACTTCGCTGCTAAGCTTCTTTATACATCATCAGCTCTTCACACCCTTCATTAAGGCCACTACAAGTTAATCTTTAGTTTCTGGTCCGCCTCCCGCATCATTTCTCCGTAGAGTATTATTTCAGGACTATTTTGTTGTTTACAATTAATTTCAAGTTCTTGAAAATTTTCGCGAAGGATTTAACTTATAGAACGATAAATATTCAATTTACACTAAAAAGACCTAGCAAAATGAAGTATTGAAGGGTAAAAACCGATGCCTTATAAGTCTACGTTCTCATTTGGTCATCATGCACAAGATCACGAGCCGTACGAGGTAAAAAAAAACTATAAATAATCATTTTGATATGTAAAACCCTTTGTAATCTGTCGTGCATGTCTATTTTTAAATAATGTAAATGCAATTTACGTAACATTTTATAATATTTTGATACAATTAGCATGAAAAGGGACAAAAAGGAGCACAAAAATGTGGGCAAACCACAATTGTAATTATGTCCTATAGTCCTAACCACCCGCCCGCCCGCGTCGTAAACGGAGGTAAGGCCGGACCAGAAACTAAAGATTAACTTGTAGTGGCCTAAGCCTGGTTCACACTAGCGATTCTGTCGGCGATTTTTCTCTTCCTTACAAATGTGATCGAATGAGTGACATACAAAAAACTTAAAATTGTTTACTTCTGAAAAACGACTGTATACTTTTCACTTTTGTGTGCGAGATCACTCATATACATCCGTCAGGAACACAAAATCGCCGACAAAATTGCCAGTGTGAACCAGGCTTAAGCGCCACGCTTATGTCTTTAAAACCTTCGTTTTCGAGAATACGTATATGACTGCCATTTTCAGCGGTGCTCCATAGTAAAGTTCTCCCGATGTTACGTTAATCTCTGTTGCAAGTTGTCCAAGGCTAAAGCTTCCAACAGTTAGAACAATATTGTTACCAAAATGTTCCTCAAATTTCTGGCGGATCAAAGCAGTCAACTTTTCGTCACCACACACCCTCATCACATTTACTTCCACTACCGTTACTTCCAAGTGTCCTGCCCTGACAACGATCCTGTCCTGTCCTGAAATTTTACTTGGGGATTCAAGTCAAATCGAGAGAAAATTAATACAGCAGTTTATGTGCGCGGGCTAGGAAGGCATTGACTCTGGATCTATTCTAAAAGACCACACGAGTCAGAACACGAGTGAACACGAGTGAACACGAGTGAACACGAGACAACACGAGTGAACACGAGTGAACACGAGTCAGAACACGAGTGAACACGAGACAACACGAGTGAACACGAGTCAAAAAATTGTGAACACGAGTGAACACGAGTCAAAAACTGACGAACACGAGTGAACACGAGTCAAAAATGACGAACACGAGTGAACACGAGTCAAAAATGACGAACACGAGTGAACACGAGTCAAAAATGACGAACACGAGTGAACACGAGTCAAAAATGACGAACACGAGTCAAAAACGCATTCTTAAAGAGGCTCCCTACAGTTTTAAGCCCGTGATGAAGATCTGTACTGTGTAATTGCACGTGGGTTTCTTGGCGGCCCACAGGATGTTGGATTAATAATTATTAATAACAATTGTTATATAGTTAGTGTCAAAGTTCAATTTTTCTGTTTGCCGATTGGTCAAAACCGTGTCACGTGCCGGTCCACAAAACATCATGTTCGGCAACCGGTCCGCAATCAAACATTTATTGACCGGTCAATAATAAAATGGGTGCAATACGCATGCGTGTCAACCATGAAGTTCCAAAGTTCATTTTTTAAACTTTTTACTAAACATTTACGGCGTTCCATTTATCCAGTTTTGGTTTCAAATTAAGTTCACTCCAATAACCGGTGAATTATTCATACTTTGAGTCTTTGACACTTATATACTATATAACAAAACACTTATTTACTGAGACCTCGGGAAAGCAGTGTGTTGTGTGGCCCCTCGACCGCCGTTGTTGCCCTCGGCTTCGCCTCGGTCTCGGGTCCACAAAACACACTGTTTCCCTCGGTCTCAGTAAATAAGTGATAATTATTCGCCGAAGGCGAGATGATTATCGGTGAATAAAAACCGAGACAAAGTCGAGGTTTGTATTCACGATAATCACCGAGCCTGAGGTGAATAATTGTTTTAGTATAATTTCATAGGTGAATATTTAGAAAAAAATTTAAAAATACACATTTCTTTGTCATTTAATTGACAAAACGGCTTCGGCCGCCATTTTGAGAATTGCTTAGGTGATTATCGCGTAATAATCACGTACCTTAACAGCAGCCAATCAGCGTGGAGAATTTTGAATAATCACCTATGTAATTATACTAATAATAATTAAAATCATAACGAAAACTTTATTCAATTTTAATAATAATAATAATACTTATAATTATTATAATT